AGTTGTGTTAGCACGAAAAGTCTAAAACATCCATTTTCAGTATATGGCAATAACAAATAACCTATTAACACGTGAACTACCGATTCTGCAATCACATCTTGATTTCTCGTTGCTTCCTTCTTTTAATTTTATTTCATGTAAAATAACCTGATTTTTGTTTGACACGACATCACACGTGAACATACTGAGATGTTAGACAATAGTTTTAAAAAGTAAAAGCTAATCAAAATAGTTTATGACACATGTATTAATTTTCTTGTCAATTCACATGATGTAGATAATCTGATTTGGTGACAAAAGAAGTGTCAGCAGTTTCAAGTGAAATGACAGAGGAGGTTACACATGCATATAACAGTTACAAAATTTAAATGTCATTCACTTGTTTCATGTGAACATACTGAGAAGTCAAACGGTAGTTTCATAAAGTAAAAGCTAACCAAAAGAGTTTATGACATACGTATTAACTTTCTTATCCATTACGTGATGTGAATATTAAAGTTGGGTTGGTGACAAAAAAAGCATTAGCAGTTTCATGTGAAATGACAAAGAATGCAACAAATGCATTTAACAATTACAAAATTTAAATATCATTCACTTATTTCACGTGAACTTAAAAGACGAGTAAAAGTTAACCGAAACATTTTATGACAAACATATTAAATTTTTTTGCCAATGTACGTGATGTTGATAACAAAATTGGTATTTCAACAAAAAAAAGCATTAGCAATTGCACGTGACATGAGAGAGAGATGACACGTGCATATAACATTTACAAAATTCGAGTATGGTATAATCAAAATGGATTATGACAACTGATAATACACATTATTTTATGTCACTTCACGTCATTGAATCTTCTAAATAAAAGTTGTTGGAAAAAAAAAACCTTTAAAAATAAAAATTATATTTAAACTAAGGAAAATGAATATTCATCCATTTTCTTCTGTTACATACTCATGCTTTATCTTGTCTCCTGTTTTTTTTTTTTTTTTCTGCAATCCAATCTCGTTTCTCTTATACAATAACAAATAAATCGATTTACAATGATTTTTGATAAACTCTTTGTAATGTGTATTCTTTGTTTTTACATTTTCGCAATTACAAAAAAAAATATATATATAATGATTTACAGTAATGGAACTCGACAGTCTTTTTCGTACGCTTCCAAAGGCTCCATTTTTCTGATCTCAGAAATGGTTCATGACGATGATCATCTTGGTACTCATCCGGTTTTCTGGGGAAGAGAATGAGTTGCCCCTCGGACATACGCCTGCAAGTCCGTTGGGGAATAACGGGATTTGTTCCCTCTAACCTCTGTAAAGGGGGCCATGAGAGTAATGGAAGAGCTCACAAAACGTCATGGCCGTAAGGAAATTGAACCAGCCACCTAACACCAATATATAGAGAGCCAAAGGTAAAAAACAAAATACTCTTAAATGGAAAAAAAAGCCTAAAGTAAAAATAAGAACGACTAATGGACGAGTAAATGTTACTCAGTACTACGGTCTGGTGATATTCCTCTTCACTTGGAAGTAAGAGGTTTTAGGTTCGAATCTCGTGGATGACGAATTCGATACTATACCCATTGTGTGGCTTAGCCGAACTCCTCCTCTCCTTAGTGTAAAAATATAGATGTACTAAAAAAAAAATCAACGAGTAAATGGACATACCGTGGCTGGTTTAGAGGACGTCAAACCTTTTTATGCTGGACGTCACGAAGGGCAACTCTTGAGCGTCGTTTCTCCCATGCCGCCCATTTCTACAATGGAATGAATAAGTGCTTTTGACTTAAGCTCAATTGTCTCTCATGTTTCATTTCCCCTATCATTTTATTCTCCCCCCATTTTCTCCTCCCTCTAGAACTTGGAAACTGGCTCTCAAATTCTAAAGAATTGGTAACCATGATGAAAGCAAGCGATATATGATTTACTTCATATGTTAAGTTGAGGGTTTGGGAGGGATTTATAGAGGAGTTGGGCGATAAAACTGATGTTCGTAATAACATTGGTTTAGTCAAAGACAAAACGTTCATCGGTTTCTCGTGAAATGATAGAAAAAGTTACACATACATACAACGGTTACAAAATTCAAAAATGATGATAAATCCAAGCCGATAATGACAATACATTCATTTTTATGTCACTTCATGTAATTGAATCTTTCAGATAAAGATTGTTTAGCATACACGAAATAAGTCAAGTTGACTAGAATAGTATACACGGTCCAATGAAACTCGAGGTTAATTGGATGAATAATGACAATGGTCCATAAGTTATACCCTAATTTGCATTTTTGCCCTTAAACCAACAATGCAATTCGAGATTAAATTGGAGGTTGGAGGCCCACATCCTGGGTCGGTTGTAGGCCCAAATCCTTCTCATGGGTCAACCAACTGCACAATTAACTTGAATTTGAAATCGATTTTCGGCCAAATCCAAAACCCTAGGGTTTTCAAATCCTCTCTTCTACCTTTAGGTCTCCAAAACCTCGAGAAGCCCTGAGCGCGGAGGACGGCAGAGGCCACCACCCACCGCCACAATGTCGATGTCGAAGAGCTCTAAGATGCTGCAATTCATCAACTACCGGATGCGAGTGACGATCCAAGACGGCAGGCAGCTCGTCGGCAAGTTCATGGCCTTCGATCGCCACATGAACCTCGTCCTCGGCGACTGCGAGGAGTTCCGCAAGTTGCCTCCACTGAAAGGAAAGAAGACCAACGAGGAGCGCGACGACCGCCGGACACTAGGCCTCGTCCTCCTCCGCGGCGAAGAGGTGGTCTCCATGACTGTCGAGGGCCCACCTCCTCAGGAAGAGTCTCGTGCAAAGGCAGCCAGCGCCGCTGCTTTGGCTGGTCCCGGTTTGGGCCGCCCCGCCGGACGAGGTATCCCCACTGCTCCGCTGGCCCAGGCCCAGCCTGGTCTCTCTGGCCCGGTTCGCGGCGTTGGTGGACCGGCCCCTGGCATGATGCAACCCCAGATTTCACGCCCGCCAGTTCCGAACCTCTCCGCGCCTCCTATGTCCTACCCGTCTGCTCCGGTGATTCGTCCACCTGGACAGATGCCTGGATATCCCGGGCAACCTCCGATGAGTCGTGGTCCACCGCCTGGTGTTCCACCTCCGCAGTTTTCTAGGCCTCCTGGTGGGGGTCCACCTCAGCAATTCCCTGGCCCGCCCCAGATGCAGTTTGGGCAGAGGCCGATGGGTCCCCCGCCGCCTGGGCAGATGATGAGGGGTCCACCGCCTCCACCTCGCCCTGGAATGCAAGCTCCCCCGCCCCGTCCTGGAATGCCTCCTCCTCCTGGCGGTGCAATGCATATGTTTGGACCGCCTCGTCCTGGAATGCCGCCTCCACCCAACCCTCAGAACCAGCAGCAAAATCAGCAGCAACAGTGATTGGTATTTCCTCACTTCATTTGTTTTGATTCAGTTTTGAATTTGGCATCTTTTCCTCAATGCTCATATATTTTATCTCTTCCTGTTACGGTGTTGTTTGTTTGGTATATGCAATGTGTATCATTGGTAGTCTTTAAAGTTCATGCCTTCTATTGCAATTTCTGATATTGAATTGAACCTGTACGACGTTGCTATGAGAGGGACCATTGAGAACTACCAAGACTTGACATTCTTGTTTTGATTCTGCTTTCGAAATCTATGTTGATTGTTGAAGGAGATTTCTTTCTCCCTCTATAACACCAAATCTAATATATCTGAGCCTATTCTTTGCGTGAATGCCACAATGTATTGTTATGATGTGTATAATGTTATATTCTGCCACACAACTCATCTCGGACTCAGTCTTGCATCCTGTATCACTGTTATAGTCTGCATACTCAAAAGTCCACAACCAAAGATATATGTCATATCTATAGCTATAGAAATCAGGCATGATCGCATGATATTGATCCAATAGCAGTTGCGAGAAATTTTGTCCTTGTCTAAGATCAGTGTGTAGTAGTCTTGGTGTGTTGTTTTACTCTCCCTCTAGTTGTCGCTCTACAAAGTTTACTTGCTAATTTTACTCACCTTGTTTGTACAACCTGTAGTACATCTGTTTCTTAGTCTCGGGGTTGTTCATCTTAACTTTTAAGTGAGTAGAAAATAGAATGGTCGTTGGATGTCGTGTCTAATATAGATTACCTTGCTATACAATGGGTCCCTCTAATTGCGGTAAGAATGTCCACAATCTTGGTGAAACACCTCAACAAACAAAAGTAAACCATGATACAAATATCCTGGTCCTTAGTAACCCCCAATATGTCATTGTTCGAGAGTCAAAGCACACCATCCAACACAACTTCGTATCCTTTACAAAATTCTTGTGGATCTTTATTTTTACATGGGAGTTGAAGTTAGGACGTTGTACTTGTTTTAGCTTGACAATTTTTCCAAACAATTTCTCAGTCAGTTGGAGAAACTGGTTGAAGTAAAGAAGCATGACTGTAATTCGTAATACCTTTAGAATTATGGTTTTGTAAGATTATATATTTAGTTCTAGTATCTATTTAAAGAATTGCTGCTGTTACCACTTTCATCTATGAAAATTACAATTTTTTTTCGTTGGATCAATCTTCCATTTTCTTCTTGCTTGGAAGTTGACTCGATCTCTTTGTTCGTTGTTCTTTTGCTTTGCAGGTTTGTTAGCTGTTGCGTTTGCGGTTTTTGAATGCTGCTGCCTTGCATACTGTTTCAGTCTTTTGTAATGGGTTTAAGCCTGCGCGGATCTTCCTCATCCTGTAACTTTGGAGTTCTATGATATGTAGCTTAAGTACTCACCTAAAAAACATTTGTAATTTTGTACAATCTTTCTGACTATTTTTACAATTCTATCAATTCGGTTTGCCAATTAATATTGACACGCTCTCTCTCTCTCTCTCTCTCTCTCTCATGGAGCAATTTGGAAATTTTTGGTGTATCCAGAACACGGCTTCGTGGTGTGTGACTATTCCACTCAGAATGTAACACGTGGAATGGTATACCATGCGGCTTGTATTTGTTTCTCGTTTTCATGTATAATTCGAAAGCATTGATCATTGCTATATTTCGAGCATGACAACAATAAAATTACCGAGTCAAAAACACAACTATTCGCCACGACGTACAATCTCCTACTTGTGGGTTTGAAACAAAATCTCCTATTGATCATAACAAAAAAGATAGACAAAACACACAAATTGATTGAAGAAACTTGTAGGGTGTCCTTTGGAAGAAAGATCACCGGAGACGAGACTCTACTGGTAACAGCGAAAGTATCGAAAGAAAACTCTCTGCACGAATGTATTCTATTTACGCGATTGAAAGCAGCAAGATACGTATGCCTTTACGTTAGTCTCAGTTCGTATTCGCCAGCCATTGTTATGTATCTCACCCATGGAAGAGCCTGGTACCCACTTTTCTCAATGATTTTTAGGTATCGGACCTACAAAATCCACATGCCATATAGCATCAGTTTGAACCTATAACAGCAAGCAACCTTTCGAGGAAATAACGAAGTTTATATAACACACCTGAATTCCGGAGACAGTAAAATACGGTATCTCAAACTTCACCCGAATAGGAGCTCTTCTTTCGGGAACCGCTTCTTCAGCGGTTATACTAGGAAGTGTAAACTCCGATCTCAACATGTATTCCTAAGTAATTTAATACAGAAACAAGGTCAAAATTATCTTTGCGACGGTTTTTACAATCAATATATGCTTAAGGGAAGGAGAAAGCCTATGGAGCTGTAGACGAATTGTTACCTTATTACCAGGAAAAGACTTAATTTTCCAGACCAAAGCATCTCTTTCAGGAGCATATGCAGCAGATCCTATTGATGTCCGGACATTAGGGTTTGTAGCATCAGCGGGCACAGGCAACTCAATTTCGACATTTGTGGCCGTGCTGTACAAAGTAACCATAGCTTACAGTGAGAATTCGGATAATGGCACTCAAGAATGAACTCGTGATGTGTAAAAATGTTGAGTTTTCACTATGTTTAAAAAAATTGTTACTCGGAGCCTTAGTATTCTATATAACGGATTCAACATAAATAAGTAATCGTTAGAGCAGTGATTCTCTTACCTGCGATCCTTATACTGGCTCCTTGCTTTTACCGTGAATTCAATACGACATCTAGAATGATTTTCAACTTGTGCTTCCACCCAGATAAGAGGCTTCACCTGAGATCATTGAAGGACAAGTAGTCTTTTTCCGCTTTATATTTTGAGCAAATGTAAACGTACATATAAATAGGGGTTGGAGCTCCGCCAATTGATTAATTTAGCAGTGAAAAAACATGGCGGAAATAAGTAAATTATTAGCCGTGAAAAGAAATGCACCTGAGTACTGAGTCTGTATGTCATCAGATCAAATGCTCCATCAGGGGGGATGAACGATATAGTCCGGTCATTCTCAAATCGAGACAAACGCACACACCTAGTTGGGTGGGAAAAAATAAAGTAAATACAAAATATTATAAGCATTTCGAGCAGCAGTAACATTATAAGAATTGTAGCATAATATGGAAAAAGAAACTTGTGAAGCAACAGATATATGAATTAGCTTGTATTAAGGCAACATACTGATGGAACTTAATGTCATCCAGATCAATGGATTTTCCTTTCGATGTTTGACCTTGCGCTTCTAGCAGCACTCTATCATTTAGTCCAAGCTTACACTCGGGCATACCACTACAACAAATGAAGCAAGTTTAACCAGTCAGTGTCGAACATGAAGTTAGCAAACATCACAACATCCAAAGGCGAAATCCATACATATCTACATATTTTTAGGATACTCTCAATAAGTAGTCATTTTCCAGGCTCATGTTAACATTGTAACTCAAATGAACATGCTGGAGTTTCCTTCTCAAAATCCAAACAGTTAATCAAAGGGTTGGCCAGAAGACATTTTAATTCAGCGGGTTAGTGGCTTTATAACAAATGCAGTTGCTACTTCCTATAGTTTGTGCTCTAATACTAAATTCAAGAAGAAAAGAAGTTATGCACCTCAAATATGTTCTCATCTTTAGGGCCCCAACGACATCTGACCGTATTATTTGCCCGATGCTGTTGACAAGTATGTTGACACTTTCCACCACATCCAAAAAGACCTGATAAAATATGAACAGAGCTTCATGACTCTACAGACGGGATTTAATTAATCAACGGTAAACATGAAAAGAGGATCAACGTACTTCGTTCTTCTTGTACCGTATCCCTTCACTGCGCCAAGACACTGCATTTGTAACGGCCATGGGAGGACGTTGTGTCACCTCCATCCTGTAAGCATCGGTCTTGATAAATTCACTAAGAATCTTCGCTTCAGTGAATTGCGGGAAGCCAAAGTCCATAATTTCATCAAGTAACTCGTACTGTCAACACACAAGGGGATTATTTAGCAATTCAGCATACTGCCATCAAAATTCTATCCATAATTCTACCTATAAAAACACCTTACAAGTTAATTACCACTACGACAAAGTTGTCTCTTAGCGATTCCTCTTCTAGCTCTTCAAAATAATGCTTAAAAACCTGAAAACACAAACAAACATATCGAAACACACGAAAACCTCCAAGCGGGTAATCATCAACATTGTTCTAAAAATCCCCACCTAGCGCCGCCTAGGCGCTAGGCGGTTGGCCATCACCCTGATTAATGCCTAGGCGTTTGAAAATTAAGAAAGAGCGCCTAGACTTGCTGAGGCACCCGCCTAGCCTGTTCAGACCCTCCTAGCCCACCCAAACCCTCCTATACACCTGCCTAGATGGCAACTCACTTAGATAGAAAATAGATAACTTTTCTTTTGCATTTTATTGTTTCCAATAAATTGTAAGAGACTTATTGAACACTTAAATAAACACACATTATATGTTTGCTCTCCATGTTCCAATACTTCATAATATATATGTCATTCTATTTTCTAGTTTATGATAAAATTATATATATTTTAAATATAAACAGACACTTATTTACACGAAATACAATAGATTTACTTAAATCCACATAATCCGCCTAGCCGCCTAGGAGCTAGGCTCCAACCTACTTCCCAACTAACGCCTAGCGTCATTTAGAACCTTGATAATCAATGACGATGGCAACGGCATTACAACAAATACAACTAAAAAATCTAGCAAGAGAGTTCAAAGAGTGCATACATCGATTACGCGGTGCAGAAACAGCAGCAAGCTAGCAGCATTGCAGTTCTGCCTCGACGCAATCATCAAGTAGATATTGTTGTGTTGTATGAACATGTAGCTGACTCCATTGTCGTACACCACTGGATCTTGGGATTGCGGATCGCCCTGAAAAAAAAAATACACATTTTCCAGTAAACGCAATACATTCAGCTACTTTTTGCTGAAAGTACGAAATTTTTAATTCCGATTGAGAAATTGACGACAACCCAATTGCAATTGCAGCTGAATATATATGTGTATACATACATACATATATGTGTGTATTATATATATATATATAAAAAGATTTTTACCTCTTTTTCGATGAACTTGGTGAAGAAGCGTTCGGCCTGAGCAGCAGGGACATCGCCACGGTAGTCGCGCCAAATCAAAACTCGTCCTTTGATGTCGAGCAGAAAAAGCGCCGAGGCGGCGCCGGCCATCGGATTGAAGATCAAGAGATTTGAATCCGACCCAGTTGTCAATACACCCCCCAAAGATCAAACAAACAAAACAACCTCTCTGATTCTCTGGTTCTGATTTCTATGTACCCATGGCATATTATACTTTACATATTAAGGCAATCAAATGGGGGTATAAATTCGAAGCTTGAATGCTGTGATTAATTCTATAAATGTCAGGCAAATTTGAGCTGTTGGTGTTGGTGATGAAATTCAATGGATTGAAACGTGATATGGCTTGGCTTATTTGCTGGGTGGAAGCAAAATTGTAAATTGCATTGCGAGTCTTGTCAAATAGTGGGTTGCCACTACTCATACTTTGGATATTTGAGATTTCAGTCTTCTGAATGACCATATGGGAAAAAGCCCATAAAAATTGGTTTCTTTTTTGCCCAATTTACCAAATTCCATGGGCTCCGACAGTGGGTTTATGAAAATTTTACAAACGATATTTAAGAAGAGGTACATGATTCTGAACGCGGACTTGGTTTAGGTTTTTTCTAATTCAAAATTTTTGCTTTTTTTTTTCATTTAATATTACTGTTTAGATATTTCTCTTAATTTGTAAGTGAGAGGTATTAAGTTCGATTCTTGTCAAAGACGAATTTGAACAACATTATTGCTAGCCCATTGTGAGGCTAAGCCTAACCCCTCATCCTTAGTGTAGATAATATCGTTTATTTAAAAAAAAAACTTTCTTTTTTGAATCTTAATAAGAAAACTACTCGGCCAATTCTTTAGAACGAGCCGTTTTCCCTTTTAACTAATCACTGTTTGAGCACTAATGCAAAAAAATTTCATTAAAAATAAAATAATATTTTTTTTTATGTATACATGTCAAATTGTAAGGAGACAAGTATTTAAAATGCCTTCTATTTTTGTTAACCTAGAGGGGAGGTTAGCATTTAGTGGGTGGAAGTTTCCCTCATACCACAAAAAAAAAAAAAAAAAAAAATCTACGGGTGTAAACTACTCTATCTCTTCTTGTTTTCTTCTTGTGCCGGTCGAACTAAACTACTCTATCTCTAATTGAAATTTTTTATTTAAAATTAAAGACAAATAGTATCTGACGAAAATTGACCATATGATATACGATAAATGGTAAGGATGTGGAGGATCTCCTTCCATACTTTTCGTATTTGAAATTTCAATATTCTGAATGACCATATAAGGAAAAAGCCCAAAAATTTTGATTTCTCCTTTGCCCAATTTAACAAATTCTATGGGCTCCAATAGTGGGTTTAAGAAAAAATTGTGTATTTTTCATTTTACAAACGATATTTAAGAAGATGCACATGATTCTAACTGTTTAGCGGACTTGGTTTAGTTTTTTCTTGTTCAATTTTTTTTTTTGAACCACATTGTTGCTATCCCATTATAAGGCTAAGTCCAACTCCTCCTCCTTATTGTAGATAATATCGTTTGTTAAAAAAATAAAAACTTTCATTGTTCGATGTTAATAAGAACACTACTCGGCTCATTTTTTAGAATGAGCCGTTTTTCCTTCTAACTAATCACTGTTTGAGCACTTATGCAAAAATTATTCATTAAAAATAAAAAAAATATTTTTTTATATACGTGTCAAATTGTGAGGAGACAAGTATTTAAAAAGCCTTATATTTTTGTTAACCTAGAGGGGAGGTTAGCATTTAGTGGGTGGAAGTTTCCCTCATACCAAAATAATAATAATAATAATAATTCAACAGGTATAAACTACTCTATCTCTAATTGATAAAAAAAAAAAAAGGTCGCTCTTTAACAAAATTTGATGTGCTTGTTTTTTGACAATTCTAAACTAATTTAACTATGAAAATAAAGATTCGAACTTTGGATGCAAAAGAGCGAGCACATTACCTTGACCAACTAAACTAATTTTTGCTTGTTGCATCCACATGTCTCTTTCAATAAATTAAAAAAATAAAAAATAAAATAAAATAAAATAAAATAAACCATACTTTCAACATATCAATTGGAAAACTTTTAGCATATCTTCAAAGTTTTATCTTCCACTCATGAGTAAGCCACTGAAGACCTGGCTCTTCCCTCCAAGTGATGCTTCCCATTCTATGGAGGACATCAATATTTGGGAGAGTGTTTGCACAATGTCTTTCATCTCCGGTCTATTTACTGGATCTTCACTCACACACTCCCATGCTATTTTCGCCATCTGCGCCATATACAATAAGTACATATCATAAACCTCAGAGTCCGTTTGATAACTATTTCGTTATAAGTTTTTAGTTTTCGTTTTTCAGTTGCACAAACCTTGTAGACTTCTTCCATAGGGTATTGTACATGTCATAAATGTTGTTGATAATTGCAAGTGTACAATATCGTCCAAGTAATATAGTGATAAGTAGAGTGTCGTTCAAACAAGGATCGGATTAACCTAAATTTACTATTGAGATTGACTTCAAACTAAACTTAAATAAAAGATGGATTACGATGACAAATTCAAATATGCAAAGACCCAAACGAAATTGAAAATATCAATTGAACAAACACGAAGTAAAAGTGAATGAATTATGAAAAATTAATATATTGAAGCACTAGGACATCAGGTTCCTCATTCTCAATCCCATCTAAACCCGTTATTTTTATTCATCTTAAACTCAATTTATTCCCATGTTGCTAGCAATTTATCCTAGCAATTGATTCGTCAATATTTCCTTTCAGAATATACTAACTGTGTTTCTAACTATCTACCCATGCTATGTCTAGCCACAGAAGTAGATAATTGAATCCCTTTACGCTAAATGGATAATTTCACAATACTACACAAATCATAACCAGTATGTCTACTCAATTATGTAATTCATGGTAATCGTTATGAGAAGCAATCTACTAAACTCAACCTGTCAGTCCCAATTTAGTTCTTCACACAAATAATGGCCAGTTATTTGATAACGATAAAGCACAATAACAATTACTCAACATGGAAAACAACAGAGATCAATATGAAATAATAAGAATTAGATGTTCATGATAAGAGTACACCCTAATCCTAGCAAAAGGACTTAGTTCATGATTAAACTAATCACAAACATGGATGAATTCGATAACATAAAGAAACCCCAAAACTCCAATTCTGGAATCGTATGTGATCAACCCCAAAACTGCCACCTTCTCTCCAGCGTTTTTCCACTGGAAGGCTGGAATCCCTTTCTTTCCCCCCTTTGCGGCTGCTTCTCATCTACTCCCCAGCAATTGGAGAGAAGGGTCGGTTCCGTACATCCCCCAGTTGGACTTTTTTTCTTTTTCTTTTTTTTTGTCTTCTCTCTCTTTGCTTTTGTTCTCTAATCCTTTTATGAAGCCCAAATTGGACTTAATTTGATAAAGCCCAAATTCCAGCACCACTCTCACATAGCATCAGTCCACTTCGTTATTCTTTCGTGCTTTCCTTGTAATTCTTCTAAAAAATCCAGTTTTCTCCGAAAAAATAACTTCTATAAAATTCACACAAAATACATCAAATCCAACTGTTTTATATCAAACCATGACTAAATTAATAGGTAAAAGAGATACAAAATATACCTATTATATCAACCTAACAATAAACCTAAGAGTCCGTTTCATAACTATTTCGTTATAAGTTTTTAGTTTTCGTTTTTCAGTTGCACAAACCTTGTAGACTTCTTCCATAGGGTAACTTCCCTTCATGTTACCATCTATTTGAGCTTCCAAAGCAGCTTCTGGATCTTCTTCTTTGAAAATTGCATATATCTGCATAAAAAACAGAAGCAATATGTTGTTAATTTTGATCACATGGAGCACGTAATTAATGTTTAATTAAGAATTTAAGAAGCGGACTTACAACTGAGATGAGTGACTTCATTCTTTTCGGTTCTCTGTTGTCACGAAAAATTGCACTTTGACCGGTTATAAGCTCTGCTACCACCACCCCGAATGCATAAACATCAGTTTTTGATGTCATTTGTAGCTCACGCACAGATCTTGAAAAGTAGCGGATTAGCGAAAGTTCATAAGCTTAACTACCACTAACTGACGATTTTTTTTCCTTGACAAGCAAGTAAGCAATCATAATTAAAGCGTGAATTCCTGCATCATAGTTTACTTACTCAGGAGGAATGTAACCAGGCGTTCCAACCACACGTGTTGCTATGATATCTTCTTCGTTCGACCGTTCTACCAACCTTGCTAGGCCAAAATCTGCTACCTTTGCTCTGAGTCCTTGATCAAGCAGAATGTTGCTGGTTTTTATGTCACGATGAACATAGCGCGTCTTGGTGTGATCATGAATGTACTCGATCCCACGTGCAGTATCCAGCGCTATTTGTGCTCTTGCTGTCCAAGAAAGAGGCTGGTTTCCTTTCAGCAATGGATCATGAAGATGATCATTGAGGGATCCATTCCGAACAAACTCATATACCAAACACAGATGCTCACTTCCGCTAGCATATCCCAGCAGCTCCACCTAAGAAGAAAAAATTTGTTCACTTAATTTTTCTTTATAAAACTTTTTACTAAGAAAACAAAGGGTCTATTTGGGAATGCTGACAATCAAAAGCGTTTCTAACTATGTTTGGCAGGAAGACTTAAAAGTGCTTTTGAGTTAGAAGTCCTTTTTGGAGAGCACCTAGGAGGCACTTCCGCTCATAGTCATTTTCTTTTTCTTTCTAAAAGTGCTTCACATGGAAGCAGTCCCAAATTAATGGACCAAATTCTTTTACTTTTTTTTTTCCTCTTCTTACCACATTGTTATGATGGATCTTGCATAAAACCTTGAGCTCAGCAAAGAACTCCTTTGATCTGCTAGATCTCATCTTCTTAATTGCTACCTCCAGTTCTCCTAATAGACCGAAATAAACGCTGCCATATCCGCCCTGTCCAATCTTCCTGGTGTCATCAAAGTTATTCGTAGCCTGCTCGATTTCCTCCATCGTATATATAACTGGCCTTTCATTCTCAAAAGTTTCTGTAGCAAGAACAAATAGTGTGTCACATTTCTTATGTTAATGTATTAATCTAGAAATTGATATATAAGTGAACCCATTAAAATGGTTTTTCGATATGGAGTTGAGATTTTTGTCTTACCTTCCATTTGCCTTTTGAAAACTGTTGCTTTAGTGAAACCTTTTTGCCATTTGGGTTCACATCTTCTTCTGTGTTCTTACCTTTTCTATATCTTATGAGAAGAAATATGGTGAATGTGGCCACCAAAAGAAACCCAACAGCTGACACTATCCCTATAATTGCAGCCAAACTGAGTCTCTTCCCTGGTTCAATCGAGAAAATATGTCACTTTACTTAAAGAAAATAAGCATTTGAGACAAGACGCTTTTATTAACTCTCCAAAACAGTCATCCCGCACTTCCCTCTGAGATAAAATATCAGAGAACAAAGAGTGTAGGATGACTATTTTGGCGTGTCAGCAACAATTCTGTTACAATTTTGAAGCAAAAAAAAGGGCACTACCTTGCTGTTGGGCTCGAAGTCCATTGAGCTCCATTGGCACAAACAAAACCCATCCAACATCTATAAAATTAGGGGACTTCGTGAAGTTTTTGTTCAATTTCTGAATCTCACTCTCATATGCAGATAGAAGATTTTCAATATCTGATAAAGTGTCATGATCTTGAACTGTGTATGTCACAACCTCCTGTGATTTTTTCTCTACACACCCACAAACAAGGTGAAAAGTAGTCATTTTCTCCACAGTAAATTGCTGCTCCTCTTCCCCAATTTTCACTGCCTGCCCACTGTAAAATTCACTTGCCACATTTCCAACAGTGTCTCCTTCTTTAACTAGGTAATTTGTATCATAGAGGTAAACTTGGGTGCCCTTGATGTCCTTACAAGTGCAAGGCACAGAAACAAGATAGTCTTTTGGGTGTTGGTTGTCATGAACAATTGGCCTGATGTTGGATGGGTTTACTGAGTAAAAAGTGGCTATTTCTTCTATTTGGTGGCCTTTTGAGATGTGGTATAGAGAGGAATTGCAGGTCTGGGTGTGGTGAGAAGTAGAGCAAGGAAAAGGGTACACTCCAATAGTGTTGTCTGAGAGAACATTGGTGTAGAAGAAAGTGGTGAAGAGAATTGAGAAAAAATGGAACTTCTGGTTTAAAGGAGCCATTTCCATGGTGAAATAATGATCTTTGGCTTTGATGAGGTAGGTAAGAATAGCTTCTGGTTTTGGAGTGCTTTGTCATTTTATAAAAATATTATAACAATTATAAAATGCACTTATCATGAGTGAGGAGGTCAATATTAAAATGAGATATGAAGTGGATATGGACTTATTCAAGTTCGTTAGAATATGACATTTTTTTTCTTCACTCAAAATCAAATTTCTCTTCTCGTCGTTTAATAAATGTAATGTAAATTAATATCACTTCTATAAAGGAAAAAAAATGGCAATGTTTGAATTTCTTTACATAAAGTATGCAGCTCTTTACACGAGAACACCACCACGTAGCACTACAGTCTACAGCATGTTTGTGGCCAACCATTTTTTGGTAACACTAAGGAGACTATTTATTTAAACTACATTTTTGTAAAAATTATGACATGGTTGTTGATTAGATTATTATTTAAGTGTTAATTAACTGCTTATTAAATCACATAGTTTACAAATGTAATATAATAAATTAGTCTAATTATCATTACTCACTTTTAAAAGGCAATCCGACCACCACAAACCAATTCTATATTTTCGCCAATTTTCACCGGACATAAAAATGACTTGAATTGTTAAAGTTTTAATCGTTTAGATATTAATGGGAAAGAAAAAAAAAACCATTTGTGGCTCCTTTTGAAAATTACCTCATATCTTAAGAGTCATCCAACCAAAAAGGACCAAAGATATTAGGTAATAAAATACCATTAAATAATTTAATTCTAAATTTAACAAGCTTGATATGCTGCAGTCTGAGGATTGGCAATATCTTGGTGTCTGTTGGATAAGTACTCGGAGCAAAATCTTATTCACAAAATATTCTTATATGTCAAATATGCAATTAGTTAAAGATTAAGAAAGTCTTAACACAGATTTTGGGATAATAAGGGATTAAAAAAGGAGGGTTAAGGGGTCATTATTATTTGTGCTTTGTTTAATCCGCCTGAAAAGAATGTAACTGGCTGGGTTTATATGGAAGTTTGTAGGCGGATCATGCATGAGTCATTTTCTTCCTTCGTTAATATTAGGGTTTACTTCTTAAATTGATGAAGGTTGTTATGTCTTTGCATTAGCTGGCGATGAAGATTCAAGCTGCATCTGTTGTGTTGCTGGACACATCACATATGTCACTGTTTTTTAATAGAGGTTTTTGAACTTTAATCCTTGAAAAAGATTAAAATTTAATAAAAACTCAGTGTTAGATTACATATTAATTTTAGTTATTTAATGTGTGATTAATTTAAATTTATATATAATTTTGTTAATGGATATCTTTTTTTTAATGTCTCCGCATTAAATTTTAAATTTATTATTATACACATTTTCATTCATTAGTTTTGTTTAACTTCCTCTAATTATTGTGCCTAAACGTCCGCACCATAATGTATATTACTAAACTAGTGTATTGAAATGTTCGTATTTAACTGCATATATTATAATGAGCTAGTGACACATAAGAAAACATCACAAAAACATAAGTGTACCAAAAATGCGTACCTAAACATATTGTACTAAACTAGTATACTAAAATGTACATACCTAAATATATTGTAATAAATTATTGATGCAAAAACATAAATATACCGAAAAGTCTCTACCAATATATTTTCTCGTATAAAATACTTACCATAAATTTGTGATGCAATATATCAACAAATAAAAGCTAATTCACTTAAATTCAAGGGAAAATTAGAATCCCCCATTCTTTTTTTACATAATTTTTATTAAACATTTGTTTCTTTTAAAAATTTGATTAAGATGCTTTAACTAGTGTCCACCTAATCATTTTTAAATTTATTTTATTTACATGTCATTAGTTTATTTTTTAAAATAAAAATGTTATAGGTTGATTTCCAACTTTATCCTTTTAGTTGATAAGGGGAATTTTTTTGCCTTGTCAGGATTTATACCCTTTTTTTAGGGATATTATTAATGGCTATTAACTAAATCACCAATATTATCTATAAACTTTGAATTTTGAATTTTTTTTTTGGCATCAGGGTTTATACCCCTTTTGTTGGCTCGTTCACATCATAAAATTATTATTGAAATATAAAAGTTGTTGATAAAAAGGATGAGTTTGGAGTCTTTGAATTGAGATTAGTGCTATTCGGCGGCATTGAGATATATAAATGTGAATCTTAAATTGAAATCCATTTGAAACATATTCAGGTTAATTTGAAACATACCAATAACAACTTGAAACGTACCCATTTCACCTTGAAACGTTCAATAACAACTCGAAACGTACCAATGCTAAATTGAAACATACTCATATTTAAATGTGAATTTTAAATTGAAATCAATTTGAACATATTTAGGTCAATTTGAAACATACCAATAACAACTTGAAACGTACCAATGCTAAATTAAAACGCACCCATTTCACCTTGAAACATTCAATAATAACTTGAAACGTACCGATGCTAAATTGAAACGTACCCATTCTAACTTAAAACGTACCAATATATCGGTTTGAAACGTACCAAATTATCCTTTAAAAGAAAATGTACAACTAAATTCTATTTTCCAAATGTACCATGTTACGTGAAAAAGATGGAAATATGGGTAAAAAGTGTGCAAAAACAAAAAGCATACCCTTGGATATAGATACTTAGATTAAGAGGTGTACATAAAATGAAATATGAAGGAAATGAATATGACCAACAAGGGAGAACGAAAGAGGGTTTGATCGGCCAATCGAGGAAAGCAGTGGCCTGAAAAAAAAATTGCTAATGGTTGTAGAAGAAGATAGAACGTTAGTTACTTGTATGGTATGGAGTTAGGAATAAAATGCACGTTAGAAGCATAATTAGATCAGGTTTGATGTGTTAAGATTTTTAAAACTAATCTACTACATTTTAGGAGATTTGGGATATTAACATGATAATTATTAATTAATTAAAGGTACATCATAATGGAAAATCTTGTAATATGGCATTAAAAGGATGTTACTTATAAAATAAGTGACACCTTAATTGTAGGAAGAATGTTTAATTAAATTATTAAAAGGAGCAGATGTTTAATCCAAGAAATTAAAAAAAGAGGCGCCTATATCAAAACTAATGAGTATTAAAATTTACAATATTTTTCATAAAATTATAGACACCATAAAATTATACAAAAAAAGACATTGAATGCATATAAATAAAATCTAGGGTCTGAAGTCAATTTTTAATCTCGTATAAAACTTTTTTCTAAACTTCATCTTATTTAAAGATTAATATCTAGTTTTCTATTTTATGTATAATGCTAGACGTTTTGTGACGCGGTTGGGTTGCAATTACTTGCATTTCGCTAGACACTTTGTTACGGGTTCAAGACCGGTTAAAACAAAGTGTAAAATGTTATGGTGTTAGAAAATTGTTATAAGCCAGTTGAAAGCGGCAAACAAATGAATTTCATAGCGGATTTTATGCATTCATAGAAGGGCTTTCGTTGCATTTTGTAACCCTAATCCTTTCTAATCCATAAAGGAAGCCTTAGAATAATATGAACGTCACCAAACATGACTTGTGCTATAGCCTAAAATTCCTTGCCTCTTAAGTTAAAAACACTAAAATTTAGTATGTGATAAGGAAGAACTGGAAATTCAAACTTCAACCGGTACAAAATAACCAGGCACTGAAAAATAGCACAGCCATTTATTACATCGCAGATCCACGGAACTACAACTGTCAAACGCTACATACATACAGTAGTACAGAAAGTAGAAAACAGAAAGCTAAACACACAAACAACATAGAAAGTGCCACTAGCCATTGACGCCCATATACATAATATATAACTATGATCCACTCTTCAACTTCAACTCTTGACTGTAACATTAACGCCTTCACGGCCCCGGCCGCTTTCTTTGCCCCGGCCACCTTCTTTGGTTATTTGATCCCTACCACCTTCCTGGGTCCTGTCCTGGATAGTCTGGCCCGCTTCTTTGGTCATCTGGCCCACTTGACCTCCAGTCTCCTGCATCTTGTGGCCCACAAAGTCTCCGGTCTCCTGCACCTTCTGTCCCAAATATCCTGCCGTCTCCTGCATCTTCTGGCCCAAATACCCCGTGGTCTCCTGCACTTTCTGGCCCATGGTCTGGGGCAGCCGAGATCGGCTCAAGTAACGGACCAGCCAAGAGAAAGACGAGAGGGCCGTGACACCAAAAACCCCCGAAGTCAATATCCCCGTCACAGACAGGAATATGACTAGAGCGGCTGGGACCAAAACCGGGCTGAATATAACAAAAAGCGGAGTAGTCATCGCCAGACCAATGATGGTACCGGCAAGAGTGAGCCCTGAAAGGAAGAGTAGAGTGCCCCCTACTGGAACGAGGGTGGCAATTGCCAGAATATTCGAAGCCGAGGAGCCGTTTTGTTGTTGTTGTTGGTCATACTGGTACTGAGTTTGGTAACCTTGGTGTTTTGGATTGTCGAACTGGATGTTGGTTTGGTACCCTTGGTGTTGTGGTTGCTGCCAGCGGTAGTGGGCCTCAGCCATTGATATGAGATATTAAGAGAGCTAGGGTTGGCAGGGTTTTTCTGGGTTTGGTTTGATCGGCGGAGGTCGAGAAATGAGAGTGAGAAGAAGATGAGGAGGTGGATTTGGGTTTAAAGGAAGAGAAAGACATCGGTGGAGGGGACAAGTGGAGGGAGTGAGGGACACCTGTTGGATGCGTGGAGAGTGAGGGTTTGCATGGTGAGAGAGGAGCTGGAGTGTTCAGTGATATGTCATCAACCTTTTGTTGGTTTGTGTGTTTTAATTTGTTTTCTTCGAAGGATGGATAATGCGGTTTGGTGCAAATGGCAGTGCGAGTTTTGGGGTAGTAGTTTTTTTTAATTAAAGAAGATTAGAGGGTGATAAAAAAAAATATAGGATGAATTTTATATTTTTGTGAGGCGTGTTTTATGATTTAGGTAGTTGATTTTATCCAAGTTTTATCTACGTAGTTATGTTAATTTGCTACATTAGGTATTTACATTTGAACGCTCATTATCTTGTTGAGAAAACAATTTAAGTCTTCTAAATAATTTGGAACGTGTGAAGGCTCCAATATGGCTGGTATAAATTTGCGATTTGAGTTTGGTACAGAGAGTACGTTTTGGAACTTGTATGCTTTTGTGCTTGGTGTGAAATTGCAAAGGATATCACAATATGGTCTGATAACCGATACTTGTTTAATCTCTTAAAAAAAAAAATCCAATGATCTTCATCGTTTGGTTTTACTTAATTTCAACAATGGTAAGCCTAACATAGTATACTCATATGTTAATATATTATGATTTATGATGTAGTCATGCCTTGATGGTTGGTGATGATTTATGTGTGCTACATTAGTTATTTATGATAGAGAAACATTTAGGTGTGGACACTAATTATATCGCATGATATCTTTGATGTTTAGTTCACTCTATTTTGTAATTTTTTACTTAATATGATAGTTGTTTTAATCAAGCAAGCATATTAAAGATTCTTTTAAATATGCTTCGTCGGTTTGTCACCATTCATCAAACGAAAGGAAGAGGGGATGAGTTTGGAGATTTTTTAATCATTAGGATAGTAAAATAAGTTGAAACATCTGATATAACAAAATAATATATTGAGTTGTGAAGTGGGAAATCTTGATTGTTGGATTCATGCAACTGCCTATATCACACTAGTCATAGATCTTGTTGTCTAACCAGTCTGAAAGTAGCCATTTTTTAAACCGAAAACACAAATTGGAATGAAAAAAACAAAAACAAAAAAGTTCATTGCTGGCGTCATTCTTCTCTCATCTCTCAAAACTCAATACCTTCACTTCATCTCTCTTTTTCATATCTGAATCTCATTTTAGACAGTGCTAAGAGATGGATTTGTTTTAAAAAAAATTGTGGAAACACATAAAATTGGGTTTAGATTTGTGAAGTTTGATAGCATTGGGTTCAAATCCGAAAACACTTCAGAAACACACAAATTTGGGATTTTATTCTCTCCTCCAACTATTGAAATATGAATTGATAGATCATCGCTATGTATTGGTTATGCTCCCTTGTTATGAAGGAAACACAATGGATAAAAGATCATTTGGGTTGGATCCTTCTTCAACAATCGTCCGTCCAATATGATGGTGGGCTGCGTTTGGCAATATACTTGTCCAAGTTTTAAGCAGAATCAATAAACAGATGCTGATTGGCCCGGAGTACAAAGTCTGCTTTTCATGCCTTAACCTTTGCGTAGTTTTCGTTTTCTTCTTTTATGTCAATAAACATTTTTCTCCAGTTTCCAAAAAAATAAATAAATAAACAAATAAACATTTTTCTCCTGACAACTGCATCATATTATTCTCCTTAAGATCGAAAATATATTCATGTACCACTCAAATTATTATTATGTTATTTAAAAAAAAGGAATATAATGACTACTAATTATTATTATGAATCTGAATCACGTGTGATATACTATTAAATATGTAAGTTTTTACACCATTTAAATATTATTAGATTGATGCAACTTTTATTACAAATCATCTTTTTTCCCTAGTCAAAATTGGGGGCATAGATATTCGAAACGAACACTTAACTTACGACTAAAGTCTAGAGCTAGTATTATTCTTAATTCCCCTTAATTAACAATAAAATTATAAAGGGTTTAGCACTACTTGATATGTGCTATATATACTTTGGAACAACGAAATATATATACTTATATTCTTGATTAAGATATGAAGATATATCAGCTGGGATTCTTGTGCAATATCTAGGTATAAGATATACAATTTGAATTGATAAAATGATTGCTCAAAGACAGAATATGTACCCAAAGAAAGTGCAAATTAATTTCTCGAACCCACAATCTTGTGTTAATTTGTTTATAATTGCCTTGACGGCCACCATCATGGCTGCCATCATTTGTAATCTGAAACAAGAACCACTTTTCGGTTTATAATATTCATGTAAAATAACCACCAGCATTGCAGGGAATAATGTAAAGATTGATCGATGTGTATACGTTATTCAGTGGTTGTTAACCACATGCACACCCCTTTGCACTACCCTAGGGGGTAAGGCATGCTCTCTATGGCCTAGGGTAGGACTCAACATTCTCGCATACCAATCACCTTAATACTATGATATTTCATGTCAATTTACTTTTTATTAGTTGCACAAATAGAAACATGGCCAACATGTTGACCTTGTGTCATTTTACATTTTACATCTCATTACTAATCTCGATTTCTACCAAACAAAGAAAGTCTTACTATTTGATGATTGTGCATACCTTACCTTAGAGCAAGTCCGGTGGATGGTATAGCCCGGTGGATAGGGGACCAAATTAACCCAATTGCCAGCCTTCTTTGCTCCAGTTTATGAGGGCAATTGGGCTAAAGGGGGGCCCGTGGGAGAGAGGAGGCACAAATCCAAGTCCGAGCGCCTGATGGATCCACGTCAGCCACGTTATAAAATTAATAAAAATATGTAAAAATTTAATTAAAAATCCGATTTTTTTTAAAAAAATTGATTTAATTTTTCTATAAATATCTTATTATTATCTTCCACCTTACACCACAATTTTATATTTTCTCAAATACTTTGGGTTGTAATTTCTTATTTAATGACATGTGGCACAACGAGACCGATTAAAAATCATATCCGAATAACAAATAATTTTTTTTATTATTTTATAAAATAAAAAATACTAATATTTTATTTCCTATTGCTATGACTATTCAGTTTAGAGCAATTTCACCCCTAAGACTTTGCGCCAGCACCCAACGCATTTATCCACTCAAGTGAACAGTAATAGACCCCAGTGAACAGTAATAGGCCAAAACATCTCCACCCTTAAAAAAATGCGCTGGCACCCAGTCTAAAAATTGTTATAGTTTTATGCACAAACGGAAGCGAATTATAACAAAGTATCAAATATCAACGTCGTAGGCGAAAGCTAAAACAATCTCAAACTAACACAAGATATTTACGTGGTTCGGTATAAAGCCTACTCCACGGGCGAAGCACGACGAGGTATTTCACTAAACAAACGGAGATTACAATAGAGTGTTTAAACTCTCACAACTCAAATCCCACAAATTACAAACCCTAAACCAAATGAGTAGAGAACCCAAAACTAACGGAGAAGATTCTCCCAAATTGCTCTCTAACTCACAAACTCACAAATTGACTCTCACCGAACTGCCACACGAATGAGCCATACTAAATACACTAACGCTAAGGTCCTATTTATAGTGCATAGGACTTAGGTTACAATAAGAATCCTAATAGGAAATAAATCATAATCCTAATCAAATAGGTAATTAACAAAATCTCTCCACCAAGGAAACTAACTAAGAAGTCAAAACCAAACCCAAATAGGACACCAAACCAAATAGGTAACACAAACCTAATTTATTGCATCATCCTAATTTTGAGCCAAAAACCCAACAAAAATGTGCTGGCATAAATGATCTCCACCACTACAAAATGCGCTGGCACCAAGCCCATTTAAAATAATTTAAATTTTTTTATAAAAGAATAAATAAATAAAAAAGTTTTAATTTCGGATAAGATTTTTAACCAATCTCGTCACACCACGTGTCATTATCCGAACGTACTATTTTGTGAATAAATTTCCGCTAAGATTTGCAACCAATCCCGATGTGTCATGTGTCACTATCTGTTTACAATAATTTAGCCAAAATTACGATAAGATTTTCAACCAATTCCGATGTGCCACGTGGCATTGTCCAGAACCTCATCGTTTGTTGTTTTTTGTCCATATAAACCTACATCTCTACATCCATCCTCACACCAAACTCAATCCTTCTTTTTAGCTCAGAATCCTCTTCATTGTTTTCAAATCTTGAGTTTTTTTTTACAATGTCTTCTTCAAGGAGAGTGCATAAACAATTTATGGAACAACAGAAAAGATAGTTGGCAGATTAGCACAACAAAAAGAATTGATCAATCTCGAGGAAGGTGGAGGTGGAGATGAGGCTTTCGCAATGGAGGAGGACTCGGATGATGACCATAGAAGGCAGAGGGCCTTACATTCCCGCCGTGTCATGGAAGCTGTGGGTCAATTAGCCAAACCCAGACGTGCTGCAAACTTCGATAAAAAAAAGGAAAGACGAGGTAAAGATCTCTTGGAAGATTATTTTATTCCCAACAACGTATTCTCTGATCATGTTTTTAGGCGTTGTTTTAGAATGCAACGAAGTTTGTTCAATAAAATCATGAGTGCTATTTGCAACCATGATCCATATTTTGTGAAAAAAGATGAAGCTTTTCATGTTCTAGGTCTTCTTCCAGAGCAAAAAATTACGGCTGCCTTGCGAATGCTTGCATATGGAGCATCTGCAGATCAAGTGGATGAGATCGCGATGATGGGAAAAACAACTATTCGCGATGATGGGAAAAACAACTATTCTGGAGTCCCTGATGCGGTTTTGCTCTTCAATTGAAGCCATGTACACCAATGAGTACCTCCGGAAACTCACGCCAAGGGACATGCGAATGCTTTTGAGGAAGGGTGAGATGTGAGGCTTCCCTGGCATGATTGGAAACATCGACTGCATGCATTGGACTTGGAAAAACTGTCCAAGTGCGTGG